TACCCTACTTAGTTGTGAATCCTGGTCTTTTTGTTTGTTTGCATATTTGGGTCCTGGTACTAGGGTTTGAATTGCACTCTTATTCTGCCTCCTGAATAGCCGGGATTACAGGTGTATTCTACCTCACTCAGCTTAGAAATGTAATTTAAACTTTCAGAGAACAAAAATTTAAGACCTATTCTCTTAAAGTTATTATTATGAAATGAACTGTTCACTTTGTGGTTCTAATTTGATTTTTTAAAATTCTGAATTGAGAAATTGAGATATAGGACCAGCTGCAAAAATTTTAAGTCAGCTCTATGTAGCTGTGTTCTGGTTCCCATAGTTCATCTAACAGCTTTTAGAAGGTTTGATAAGTGACATTCGAAAAGACACAGCAGATGTGCATGATGGCTCCTGAAATCTAAAGTGGGACAGATGGTTCTCTAGTTGATTGACAGCATGAAGAGCATGGCAGCCAGGGTCACCTCCTGTGGTGGATTTTTTCTTTTTATCCCCTCTCTGCCTCTGCCTGAAAATAAAACTGTACATACAAAGAAAATCAGGAACAGCTATTTCAATCCTTTCTTTTCAACTATTTGTTGTAGTTAAAAAGATAGTCTTCCATACAGACTCAGTTAGATGTGGAAGTTCTTTTTTTTTAACATTTGACGGAGTCAACTCTTTGCAGTAGATTCATATTTGACCATACTAATCAGGATACTGAAGACAGAACTGAGTTTAAAGAACAAATATTGTGCTACAATCCAACAAACAGTATAGATTAAAACCAGAATAGTTAATCAATTGAAGCCTAATGTTGCTTCTTGTTTTAATTAACTTTAATGTTCAACAAACTACTTGTTGCTTATTAGGAGTAGTACTGACTTAACATTCTTTAACATTGTATGCTTAGCTCTTTTTTAAAAATAATTTTTGTTGTTGTTGTTGTTGGTTGTGGGTCTTGAAATCCAGGCCTGGGTGCTGTCCCTGAGCTCTTGAGCTCAAGGCTAACACTCTACTACTTGAGCCACAGTGCCACTTCTGTTTTTTAGGTGGTTAATTGGAGATAATAGTCTCATGGATGTTCCTTCCCAAGCTGGCTTTGAACCAGGATCTCAGCCTCCTGAGTAGTTAGGATTGCAGTCATGAGCCACCAGTGTCTGGCTATTTAAAAATTTTAAAAAATCCTTTCTAATATCTAATAAAATAAAAAACTCATCTTTACTGCATGTAAACTAATGCTTTTAAAATATTTTGTATGGGGCTGAGAAGGTGGCTCAGTGGTAGAGCGCTTGCCTTGCATGCCTGAGGCCCTGGGTTCGATTCCTTAGCACCACATAAGCAAAAAAAGAAAAAAGCTGGAAGTGGCACTGTGGCTTAAGTGGTAGAGTGCTAGCCTTGAGCTGAAGAGCTGAGGGACAGCACCCAGGCCCAGAGTTCAGGCCCCACGACCTGACCCCCTCCCCAAAAAATAAAATATTTTGTATGATTTGTAAACTCATACTAATAGATTTTTCCTAGGTTTATATTAGTATAGGCTCTATAATTTTATTGATGCTCCTCTTATCTAATTTGCTAAAAAATTATCACAAAAAGTAAAACAAGTTACAAAATATGTCCTACGAAAATATATCCAAGCATAAGTTGAGATATATTCTAGGGATCTAGGATTTCGGAAGTCCCTCTAAATCATCTAGAAGAAACAATGGCAGATGCATGTTTCTCTCTACAAGATTCAGAAATGGCAATATGTTTGTAAGGAAGACCTGGGAGTAATGGTATAGAACTTCATTTGCACAAACCTATGTGTATTTGGAATGACCTGCAAAACCTACCAAAGAACTCATATCCCTCAGGAAGCCTGATTTTTGAAGGGTAGGCAAAAGTCTAGAACTACTGTGGACCTTGTATGTGTACAAACATAAATTTTAATTCTGAGACTTAGAAGATAAAGTAGGTTCCAACAATGTGCACTCCACAAATAGAGTCAGTTCAGCTCCTATAAAATCATTAAATTTCTAATGTTATGGATGAAATCAAACTGTAGAACAATGCTGTGGGTCAGAACCCCCAGAAGCCCAATAGCTGCTCTAGTTATGTCTTCCTTCTAACTTCTATCACTGATCTCAATGATGTTTTCTTTGTGGCTGCATTGTAAATCCATTGAATATGAAATATTTACACTTGGTTATCTAGAAAATATTTTTCTATCTCTCTGGCATAGACATCCCCATCTATAGATGTATTATTTTTGTTGTTTTTGTTTGTTTTGTTGGTCCTGGGGCTTGAACTCAGGGCCTGGGCTCTCTATACATCTACCTGTTTTTTGTTTTGCATAATAGTGAATGTCAGAGCTTTGATAATTGTCTTTAATCCTTATTTGATTGGTATCACTTCTTCCTTACCCAACTTCTGTTCCATTGCCCATAATTTCAATCATTCTCTTGCCAATGTCCTTAATTGCTTTGTCTTTCACAGATGGATGTGATGTATCTGTACCTTTTCTTTAACCTTCTTCCTCTTTGTTGCAAAGGATAGAAGCAATCCATCTCCCAGTTATCTGTTCATCCTTGTACTATCCTACATCTCTGCCTGCATGGAAATTTGTAATATTCTGTATATGTTATACCATAGCATACATAGAAAAAAATCACAGTATTTAAAATTGGGGGTGTAGTTCAGTAGGAGTGTGCTTCTCTAGGATGTAAAAAATCCTCAATTCAACCCCCTTCACTGCAAACGAAAAAAGTGAAAGAAGTAAGGAAGGAAAAAAAATAAAAAGAAAGGCAAGAAAGCAAAGAAAAATCAGGAAGGAAAGGCAAAAGAAGAAAAAGGGAACATCACAGTATTTGTGTAGTTTACTAGAATTATTGGAGGGGTTTAGCATCCACATAAGGCTTAATTATATCTATGTATATATTTGCAATTAAAGATATAAAATACAAGGGGATAGATGTAAAAAGTTAGATGCTGAGTTTTAAATAGACATTGTATAAAACTTTAAAATAATATTTTTCTTTTTGAGACAAGGACTTGCTATAGAGCCCAGGCTGCCTTTGAACTCAAAGATGCTCCTGTCTCAGTCTCTGAACTAAGATGCATGTTTGGCTCTGACTGTTGGGAAAATGGAAAAGAATGGAAAAGGAATAGGCCAGACTGGATCACCAACAGGTACGAACTGTTTATTGAGGAACAGCAAGGGGCACAGACCTTCCCGTGGGTTTGGAGGCTGTGCAAGGGACTGGATTTTGGGGTGGGCTTATATATTGATCATAACAAGGAAGCAGAGAATAAAAAAATGGGCTATGGTCTCCTGGAGACCAAGGGCAATGTCCTTGACCAGGCCCACAGTAGACTGCTGGAGTGTGGGGGCTATTGTCTCCTGGAGGCCAAGTTTGGAATGACCTGCCTGAGGACAAGCATGTGGGGACATATCTGGTGCGTTGCTTGACCATGGGGAATAAAGCAGGATTCAATTCTTCACTGACCAAGACTTTTTTAGTGGAATTCTTTCCAATCAAGAGAAATTTTGAATACAATAACCACTTAAAGGTTTACCAGTAAAATATCCAATCTGTTGAAAACTTGGTTTTTTGAATATCAGATTAGCAGAAATATAACAAACCAGATGGGTTTTTTAAAAATAAGCTCCAAAAGAACTTTTTAATTTTAAAGATATCAAATAATGAAGTTCTAATTTCCATTCTTAAAGCAGGTCCCTTGCATATGGCTTGCTATCTCAAGAACAACACATTGACTACACTGAGCCAGATGTAGTTTGTGTGAAGATACTATCTTAAAGACATGTTTGGGACTATAAAGACCTGTAAAGTGTCTTTTCTATAGGAACTATAGAACTACAGAACAGACAACGTAAGGAAAAAAATCATAACATAGCCCGCAACTCCATTGTTAGGATAGGTTTCAGAGATAAATTCACAAAGAAGACGTACAAAAATCCAGAAAGTTGAAATACTAATGCAGTTGACATGGTAAGGGAACAGGTGGTGCACAAGAAACAATGTCTGCAAAGAAAAGAGGCTATTTCTTATTGATGTGAGGCTCAAGAGGCACAGAGGCAAAGTCATAGTTCTGTGTGTGGTAGGAGATACCAAAAGGCTCAAAAATGGAAACCGTTGAATCTGTGCGGTTCTATGGCTGTGTCTCTGAAATATGTTTGCAGGAGAACGAAGGTGGAGTGGCTCTAGAGTCAGTGGAAAAGATGGAACTATGGACAGGGCAAAGGGGTGGATTGGTTGGTTAGGGCCTACCCTACTGTTGGAACAACAATAAACTTTCAGTTTAGAGTAGGCAATCAATAAACATTTGTGGAATGAATGCAAGAAAATGAATAAATCAGGGGTGAGGTGGGGGGGGGGAGGTGGGGCGTGGCAGCCAAATGTTTGATGAACCAGAGGCCTGCCATCCAGTGTACGCTCCATCATCAGAAAGGATGTGCTTGTTTTAATCCTCATACCATGTGTTGTTTTAATCGTAACAACCTCTCGAGGCAGGCAGGGGTCATTACCAAGGACATGAGCAATGCCTGAAGCTCGGAGCCACCTCTGCCATTTTGGAACCGGTCAGAGAGTAGACCCAAGAGGATCGAACAGATTACTAAAGGGCATGCATTTAAGATTTACTTTCTACGGCTTCGTTTAGAGGCTTAAAAAGTGAAACGATCTACTGTGAAGCAGGAAGGCCGGACACTCTCAAAGAGGGCCCAGTTGGGGTTGTAGGGGTGTCCACACCAGCAGGTCACAGAACCAGGAGGAAGGGGGCGTCACCGGAGCACAATGCCTACCCGCGGCCTCCGGGGGGGGGGCGGGGCGGGCTCTTTCCGCGCAGCCGCAGTGCAACTCTCGAGCGCGATGGGGGCCCCGGTGTGAAGGGCGGAGGGACGAATTGAACCGTGTGGGTCCGGAAGACGCAGGCGGAAGTATGTACGAGGAGAGGTTGCGCAGTTATCCTCCGTCGGGAGAACTTGACGTCATTTCCGGCCTCAGGGGCTAGCGCGTCCGGGTCGCGGCCACTTGGAGCCCGTATCTGGTTGACTTTTTGGCTGCCGCGTCGCAGACCGGCCCCCTCCGCCCGCGCAGGTGTCCGGCGCGCTTTTCTCCCTCCGCCGCGCCTCTCGGCTTGCCTCGCGGTCTCCGACCCCGGGTCGCCAGGGCTCGCCGCTGCTTCGGGAGGTGGGTCTGGTGGCGCCGCGGCCCCCTTTTCCGCTCTCTGCAGCCCCTTTGCCTGGTCCTCGCGGTGTTGTGCCCTCCGCCATTTTCCTGCCCGAGGGTGGCCGGGCCGGGGCCTGGGTGTGCGGGTGAGGGCGGGAGGCCCCCGCGTCCGTGCCGGCCGCTGCCCCGCGCTCCGGGGCGGCTGGCTGCCCGCGCGCTGCCCGCACGCCTGCGGGCCTGGCAGCTTTCCCTGGGAGTCCGGTACATCTCTCCGTGGTATTGTCTAGAGCGACCTTGCCAGGCTCTAGGAAGGATGGAGTCGGGGAAAATAAGGTGTTCCCTGCCCCTCCCCGCCCCCATGTGGCTTTAAAATAGGAGTCATTTGTTCAGCAGACTTGGTCCTCGAGTTCAGTTTAACCTTTCCTTTATTGATTTATTTGAATAATGAATTAGCACGTCGTAGGCCCTGGGTGATGACCCCAATGACTGACTGACTGAATGTCGGAGGGTCCCATTGCTATTGTCATGCACTGTATACTATGTCGTGTGTTCATGCAGTATTAGAAGTGGGAATTGTCATTGCCCTGTGGTGTTACGTAAGGTAGATATTTGATTTGCTGGTCTCACATCCTGTGGTATGAGTTTTAAAAATAAAACCCAATTAAGAAGGTAATAGAATGCTGTTGCATTTTTTGTTTTTGAATCATGTATTTGACATTTGAAGATTATTTGAGCTGACGGAGGAACGTTAACAAGTTAGATTGGCTGTCTGCTTTACACCACAGGGAGAAGGATATGGCGTCGTTATCCACTTTTTTTTTGTTTTGAATATTGCTTTGTGGAAGAGGGGGCATGTTTCCTGATATTTCCTTCTAAAATGGAAGTCTGGAAATGATGAGATTTTTCTTCTATTTGGAACGTTAACCTGCTCATTAGGCATAGGTGAAAATAATCCATCTTTAGTGTTGTTTTTATATTTTAACCATGTATTAATGTAACAGTTGGTGAATACCTACACCTTTTCCATCTAAGGGAACTAACAGGAATAATCAGTCCAAATTAATTAGATTTATGATTTTCATTTAGCTTTATTATACCAAGATGTCATATTTAATATTTGTTGTCTCGTGGACAAGTAATTTTGTTAAATATTACGTTTTTAACATTGTGATAGTTTCTAATATTTAAATGTTTTTGACACAGGAAAAATGAATGGGAGGGCTGATTTTCGAGAGCCGGACACAGAAGTTCCAAGACCAATTCCCCGTAACTATCATATTAAGTATTTATAGTTAGTAGCATTTTGTGGTTAAAGAGAATTTTATTGCCTAAGTAATAGTAGCACTGGGCTGGGTTAATGAGTGTGCCACCTACATGATCACACAGGGTTTCACAGTTGGTTTAATGCTCTCATTGCCAATTTGAAATGCCTAGTGATTTGAACAAGAAGTTTCACATTTCCATTAAGCACTGGGTCTAACAACCTGGTTCTGACTAGTTCTAAGTTTGTGAATGTTTACATGTACTACTATACAAAATATTAGGTGTCTTTAGTTAAGCTAATATTGCAGTTTAGTTTTTTTTTATGAGCATTTTATTATTTTTCAACTTTCCTTGGCAAAAAGACATAGGGGCTGATTACATTCCAACTGAGGAAGAAAGAAGAGTCTTCGCAGAATGCAATGATGAAAGCTTCTGGTTCAGATGTAAGTTCAATTTTCTAATGAACGTGGTTTGCTCCAAAATTTGTACCTAGAATTTTGACCTGAGTTTGCATTTGAAATTATAATTCCATGTAGAACAAATTGGCATGTTCCTGGCTCTAGTGGCTAGTGACATGTTTTTGGCATGGTGTGGTTATTGGGCATAGATGTTAAAAAATGGAATTGTGTACATTTTAAAGCAATTTCAGTATTTTTTCAAAACCAGGAGGCAATTTTATCAGTTATAATAATGGCCCTTACTGGGGGGCTGGGAAGGTGGCTCACTGGTAGAGTGCTTGCCTTCATGCATGAGGCCCTGGGTTCGATTCCTCAGCACCACATAAGCAGAAAAAGCCAGAAGTGGTGCTGTGGTTCAATTGGTAGAGCACTCGCCTTGAGCTGAAGAGCTGAGGGACATCGCGCAGGCCCACAGTTCAGTCCCCACAACCAACACACATACACACACACAAAAATAATAATGGCATTTACTGAGTGTACATTAGTTTTATAAAAACAACCCTGAAAGGATGATAAACATTAGCGATGAAGAAATTGAGGTTTAGAGATGTTAAATGAGTTAGGCAGTGTTGTACAGTTAGTGAGTTATTGTGTCTGAACTTGAAGCCAGATCTGTCTGAAATGCAAGCTTGTTTTTTAACTCACTTTTAAGTGTAATAAAAGCTGGTTAGATCCATTTTATTATTGTGAAATATTATTCAATTACAGTATTTTTTTGTTGTTGTTGATCATGAGGCTTGAACTCCGGGCTTGGGTGCTGTTTTGAGCTTTTTTTTTTTTTTTTTGCTCAAGCCTACAGCTTTACCACTTTGAGCCACAGCTTCACTTATGGTATTTTGGTGGTTAATTGGACTTTACTGCCCAGGCTGGCTTTTAATTGTGATCCTCAGATCTCAGCCTTCTGAGTAGGTAGGATTACAAATGTGAACTACCAGTGCCTGACTTACGGTTATTTTCAAGGTAGGGTCTCACTTTATGCCCAGGCTGGCCTGGGCTTCATTTCTTACACTTGTGCTTACCTGTATCTCTACGCATTATGCCAGCCATTGTGCTCCCCTCTAGCTGGGATAACAGGTGCTCACCACTGTGCTTAGCCATTAGTTGAGATGGAATCTCATGAAATTTCATGTTCTGTCTGGCCTTGAATCTGGATCTTCTGATGACCATCTTTCAAGTAAAGTAGCTAGGATCACTACTTCATGTTTCAAGTCTTACTGTGAAGTCATATTATTTCTAGATATTTAAAATTGTGGTTCTATGAACTGACTAGAAACTGGTGTGTCTGAGCCTAAATATACAGGTAGTAAAGACTCTGTACATGAACATATGACTTGTCCTTTTGGGATATCCATTTGTTTTGATTAGGATGAGGATTAGATAACATGTGATGTTCTATTCAATTTTACCATTATCTTTTTATGTTATATTAATAGAATAATACACAAGTTAGAAAGAGATCTTAGGCCAATCTGTTTATTTCTTTATTGCATGAGTGGAAGCTGAGCTATATGATGGCATAATCGTGAACCCCATTAACATAACTGTTTCTTACTTTTAACATTGAACAGAAAACCCTTGTCCACTGTTGAGATGGCTAACACATCACCTTTTATCCTCATATAATTAATTCTTCAGTGCTGCGTTTTTCAGTGTTTGAAACAAGATGTGCTGTAATTAAACAGGATTTGTCCTTTGAAAAACCATAAATGATAATACATAAAGGCATTCTAACTAGCCAACAGTAAAGAAACCTTTTACAGCAAAGGTAAAATCTGCTAGTAAGTAGAGTAGTAGAGTCAAAACTTAAGATTTCTGCAACTTGTGTCTGAAGACAAATGTAATGCCTTCTCCAAAAGTTACAAATTTTTTAAATTATAAAATTTCTCTAATGATTCATATATCTTAATTACTTAGATTCTTAAATTGTCCATGTATAGTTTAGACCAGAGTTGTACAAGCTCAGTCCTTAGGTCAAATTTGTTTTTGCAGAGGTAATGAATTGTTTTTACTTTTGTTCTTGTTGTTCTTGGTAGTGCCAGGCCTAGGTTTGAACTCAGTGCTTGGGCATTGTCCCTGACCTTTTTTGCTCAAGGATAACACTGCCACTTGAGGGTTTTGGTGATTAATTGGAGATAAGAGCCTCATGGACTTTTCTGCCTGCACTAGCTTTGAACTGTGATCCTTAGATATTCAGCTTCCTGAGTTGCTAGCATTAAAGGTGTGAGTTATGGGGCATCCAGCTAATTTTACATTTTTAAATGATTGAAGGGAAAGAAAAGGAAAGACTTTGTCATTACATGTGAAAGTGACTTAAAATTAATATTTTTATGCCCATAAGTAAAGTTTTATTGAAACATCTAAATAAGTTAAAACATACATGGAGTTGTTTCTGCCTTATCTCTGTCTGCTTTTTCCTTAAAACAGCAGTCAAGTAGTCTGGATTAAGACTAAATAGTTACTTCCCCTCTGGTTCTTCAGAATATGTTTGCTATTCCCTGGTCTGGAATAGAACTATTCAATGTACATCCATGACAGATGGAATTACTTAAAATAATTTACAGCAAAAGAATATAAAGCCAAATCAGGAAAAGGATTATGAAGTAAAGTCTAGAGGAAGCCAGATGCAAGCTTCTGAAGTCTTTTAGTATAATCATACATAAAGGGCATCTTTAATTTCTCAGGTATTGATACCTATCATGGAAGGTGGATAACCTGAGCCTTGCAGGTACTAAAATTCCAGTCCTCTTCCCTGTATATAAGCATAGTTCAAACTTAGGAACAATTATTTAGGTAATTTTCATGTAGAGAACTAGTCACTAGTCAAGTTGCTTGCCGGATTGGTTTGCAATCATGACAGAATATTGTTAGTGCTGGTGTAGAGAACAGTGATTTATGTTTCTAAGTTATAAGTCATCTTAGAGTTATGAGAACTTTGGATTTTTTACTCTAGATTAGTAAGTATAATAAGCTACAATATTTTCATATAGTTTTTCAATTCTGTGCTGGTCCTGTGATAAACTTGGAGCTTAGGCTCTGTCCCTGAGTTGTTTTGCTCAAAGCTAGTGCTCTACCTCTTCAACCACAGCTCTACTTCCAGCTTTTTTTGTAATTAATTGGAGATAAGAGTTTCAAGAATTTTCTGCCCAGGCTGGCTTTGAACTGTGATCCTTAGATCTCAGCCCCCTGAATAGCGAGGATTATAGGCATGAGCCACTGGCGTCCAGTTTTCATACACCTTTTTTTTTTTTTTTTTTGCCAGTCTTGGGGCTTGAACTCAGGATCTGGGCACACTGTCCTTGAGCTTCTTTTGGTCAACTGTAGTGCTTGAGCCATAGCGCCACTTCTGGCTTTTCCTGTTTATGTGGTATTGAGGAATGAACCCAGGGCTTTGTGCATGCTAGGCAAGCACTCTACTACTGAGCCACATTCCCAGCCTGTCAAATACTTTTAAAGAGTATTTAAAATAAATGTTTTATATATCTCTAGCCACCATGTGATTTTGGTCAAATATGTTTTGTATTTTGGTTTATTCAGCAATATAGAACTTAAAAGCTCCTTCCCTGATATCAGAAAGATTACATTACAACATGGTACCTGGCATTGCACTAAATATTGTTTTGAGCAAGGGTCTTACCTCTAATTTTCAGTTTCTTTATCTTTAAATGGGTGGTAATATTATCTAATAAAGGAATGATTCAGAGTAACATGCATATAAGGTATTTAGTATGCATCATGGATTATGCTTGGTTATTATTCAACATTGACCTATTTAAAGAAAAGTGGCTTTTATTCATATTCTTTTTTCCCCTTCAGAAATAACTTGTCATTTTTATTCTGTTATTTCAGATGGCATTATTAATGAACTGCTACCTATTTTGGAGCCTAAGATGGATCCTTAAGTATATTGCTTACCGTTTTGTAGTTTTTAAAAATATTACTTTATTTATTTTTTGGTGCCTGTCCTGGGGCTTGAATTCAATACCCGGTGCTGTCCCTTAACTTTTTTTGTTCAAGACTATTGTTCTACCACTTGAACCAAGCCCCTACTTTTTGCTTTTTTGCTAGTTAATTGAAGATAAGAATCTTACAGACTTTTTTCTCTGGGCTAGCTTCAAACCACAATCCTCAGATCTTAGCCTTTTTAATATCTAGGATTACAGACATGACCGCTGGTGCCTAGCTGTAATATTTTCTTGAAAAGCATTTTTTTACCATCTATGTGTATAGTACAGCTTTCAAAGATATAACAATTACTTTTAAAGGTAATTACTTGTGCAGTCTACTTCTAGAAGGTTTTATTGATGCTCATTTATCTTACTGAACTCAAGGCAAATTAAATTTTTTTGTTGTTGATAATGACCTTTTCCCCCCTTCTATAGCTGTGCCTTTGGCTGCCACAAGTATGTTGATTACTCAAGGATTAATTAGTAAAGGTAAATACTTAAAATTTGAATTGTTTATTCATTCATTTATTTATTGTCATTCATGGGACTTGAACTCAGGGCCAGGGCTCTTTTCCTGAGCTCTTTTGTTCAAGGCTTATGCTCTGCCGCTTGAGCTACAGCGTCACTTCCAGTTTTCTGGTGGATAATTGTAGATAAGAGTCTCATGGCCTTTCCTGCCCAGGCTGGCTTTGAACTTTGATTCATACATCTCAGCCTCCTGAGTAGCTAGGATTACAGGTGTGAGCCACTAGTGCCCAGTGATAATGGGTCTTATTAAGCATTATTATTGAAGAATTTAAGAGTTTTGTCTGTAAAAGTCCACGGATTTTAGCAATTACTGTGATGTAAAAAAGCATCATTAATAATTTTTTTTTTTTTTTGGGTCCGGTCGTGGGGCCTGAACTCTGGGCCTGGGCGCTGTCCCTCAGCTCTTCAGCTCAAGGCTAGCGCTCTACCACTTGAGCCACAGCGCCACTTCCAGCTTTTTCTGCTTATGTGGTGCTGAGGAATTGAACCCAGGGCCTCATGCATGCAAGGCAAGCGCTCTACCACTGAGCCACTTTCCCAGCCCCTAGCCTATTACTTTGTATATATTTTCTCTGCTTTTTTTTTTCTGTTGTGAGTTTTGAACTCATGACCTGGCACATGCTTGGCAAATTCTCTGCAACCAAAGTATGTACCCCCAGCCGTACAACTTTGCTTTAAGTAGAGAAAACTGAATTAATTTCCAGTGAAGGAGAATGGTTCATGGATATTGGGAAGTTGCTTTAAACTGATTGTAAAGCATCAAAATGAAATGTTTTTGCTAACCTGAAAAGGTAGAATATAAATTACATATGCATAAAATTTCCTCTTCAAAAAGAAAAGTTTATGAGTTTTAAGTAGATAGTGATAATGGTTGTGATATACAAGATTTCTACTTTTTGTCCAACTTTTCTGTATATGTTCATTATAATAAGAGTCAAAATGAGCTGGGGGCTGGTGACTCATGCCTTGTAATCCTAGCTACTTAGGCTGTTGAGAGCTAAGGGTCATGGTGCGAAGCCAGCCTGGGCAGCAAAGACCAGAAGACTCTTATCTGTAGTTAACCACCATAAAGCCAGAAGTGGAGCTGTGGTTCAAGTGGTGGAATGCTAGCCTTCAGCACAAAAGCTCAGGGACAGTACCCAGTCCCTGAGTTAAAGCCTCAAGACTGGCACACATGTGTTTAACCTTAAGGTTTTCTTAAAGACTATAATATAGTGTGGATAAATGAATTTGGATAAGTAGACAAAAAAGTTACAGTCATTAAATAGGTTGATAAATTATGTTTTACTGTCAAGCAATGTAAACGTCATTTAGAGATAGTGTTTATGTGAATGTGCTATAGCAAATTTAGTGGAAATACCTTTTCCCACGAATATGTGAAAGGGTATGCCTAATAAAACTAAGATCTGAACGAAAGTTCTTTTTCCAATAATTTTAGTATACATTAAAATTATCTTCAAAGTTAGAAATATAGGAAGTGAGATATGTCTTCTGTTTCCCTGACAATTTTTTTTTTTTGGGTCCGGTCGTGGGCCCTGAACTCTGGGCCTGGGCGCTGTCCCTTAGCTCTTCAGCTCAAGGCTAGCGCTCTACCACTTGAGCCACAGCGCCACTTTTGGCTTTTTTCTTTTTGCTTATGTGGTGCTGAGGAATCGAAGCCAGGGCCTCAGGCATGCAAGGCAAGTGCTCTACCACTGAGCCACCTTCCCAGCCCTTCCCTGACAATTTTTAAGTTGTGTAAATCAGTACTTTTTTTTTTTAATGCTTTCTGTGACAGAGGGACAGAGTTCATTTTACTGCTTATAAATAACTTCAAATTTGGATTATTTGATCAATTTGATAATTTGTTTTCATACCTTAACAACTGAGGACAATGACTCATTTTTCTTACATTGTATTTTTTTACAGGCACTATTCTCAAAAGTCAAAATATGCCACAAATATGAGTGGTCAGCCTTCTCTTGTGCCATCTCCAGCAGCAGACAATATAGAAAAGGAGATGCTTCCTCGTTATGAGCCCATTCCATTCAGTGCTTCTATGAATGAATCCACTCCTACTGGTATTACTGATCATATTGCCCAAGGTAGAAACTTCTCTTGAAATGAATTTCAGCATTTTATGGTTCAACGTATGTATAAACTTTATTTGATGACCTTTTCTGCTGGATATATATCACCTATATGTTCCAAACCATCAGCCATCCACCTAAATCCATCTGTCAGCCTACTCAGCATATTTGTTACTTTCTTCATTTGTTTCTTCATTCAATATTTCATGAAGATCAGTAGGTATCAGGCACTCTTGTGAGGTATGGAAGAAGTTAAGATGAATGCAAACCTATTTCTCATCTTAGGGAAATTATCTGGTAAACTATACAGAAATGCAAAAATATATGTCAAGTTGGTTTATTAATTTAAATACACATAATGGAAAAGTAGAGAAGTGTTAAATTATGTTTCAGGAACTAGAGATTTGGAGAGGCTAAAGTACAGTAGATAGATTGATCTTAAAGATTGTCAGCTTTTACAGAACGTTTGTCAAGAGAAAAATCCATGTAAAAGGGAATTGTAAAGTCATAAGTATGGAAGTCTCACATGGAAGACTACACATCTAAGTGAAACAACAACAGCTTTGGATTAGAGCCTAGATTTGACTTACAATTGACAGTTAAAGTTCACTATATGATTTTGTAGTTATAGTCACAACAACTTATATATAGTACTCCAGTGTCTTCCTTCAGGTGGGGCTAGTGTTTGAACTCAGGGCCTCCAGTTTACAAGGCAGGCCTTCTATGGCTGAGTCACATTGCCATATCTCCAGCTTGAGTTTTTTGGTCTCTTGATGGAGATAGTACTGGTCAAAGAACTGTTAGAATTAAATGATCTAGTCAGATGTGAAGCCTGTAAAGCAATAGACTCAGCAAATGTTAAGTTTCTTCTTTCTTTCATTCTAGTCTGCAATGAAAAGTGGAGAATTAGAAGCTGGAAGCATAGGTCTACAATTCTAAAACCCCAAAATCTGGAAACCAAAAACTTTGTGACCTGAGTTCATTTTGTAGCATTCTTTGACCTAACTGATATTAAGTTATAAAAATAGTTTTTATTTCATTTATTTGAAATGAATTCTATATTTTGTTGTCAAACACTTGTGTGGTTTTATTTTGTTTTTTTACTATGCATTCCTGCTTGGATAAAAGATCATAGATCTTTGTATTCTTTGAAAACTCTTGGTTTAAAGTGAATTCAGTGAGCCAGTAACTAACTGGGGAGCAAATAAGAAACAATAAGGGTTTTATTTTATTTTTAAGATGGGAGAGATTTCTTTTTTTTTTTGGTCAGTCATGGGGCTTGAACTTGTGGCCTGGGCACTGTCTCTGAGCTCTTTTGCTCAAGGCTAGCACTCTACCACTTTGAACCACAGCACCACTTCCGGTTTTGTTGGTGGTTCCTTGGAGGTAAGATACTCATGGACTTTCCTGCCTGGGTTGTCTTTGAGCCATGATCCTCAGATCTCAACCTCCTGAGCAGCTAGGATTATAGTCATGAGACACCAGTGCTCAGCCAAGATGGGAGAGATTTTATAAAAGCAAAGGTGAGGATGCAATGGGAGACTAGTTGATTATGGTTAAGAAGGGTTGAAAAGCTGGGCTCTGGTGGCTCGTGCCTGTAATTCTGGCCACTTAGAAGGCTGAGATCTGGTTTAAAGCCAGACCTGGGCAGGAAAATCCATGAGACTCTTAACTTGTTAACCACTAAAAAGCCAGAAGTACTGTGGCTCAAGTGGTAGAGTGCTGCCTTTGAGCACAAAAGCTCAGATACAGCCTCCGTCCCCCGAAAAAAGTTTGGCAAAGATGAAGAAAGGGGATCTAGATAGGTCAGAATATAAAGTGTCTACTAGCTGAATGTGGCTGTGCAAATTAATTAAAATTCAGTTTCTCAGTTGCTTTGGTAATAGCATTTTAGTTACTAGTCATGTGTTCTGGTAGTTCCTGTGTTAGTGCCAGCATAGAACATTCTTACTTGTGGAAAGTTGTTGAGGATCTCTTAGTTCCAGTGTGCGACCTTTCCCTTTGAAAAGACAACATCAAATTATAATGAGAAGTGGGTAACAGTGGTTAAAGTCACCATCTTATCTCCAGAGACAGTCCTTGTCTTTCACCGTTTCATTCTTCCAGTCTCAAGTCCACACTCATTCTTTGTTCAAGACAGAACTTCCACATAACACCAAAATAATCACTTTGGTATCTACCCGGGGTAACAACCAACTCCATATGTAATAGTACTTTAATACCCTCCATAGCAGCCATCCTCTGTCCTCTTCTAGTTTTGGTTTTCTTTTCTACCTTGAAATTAGGCCTTTTTACTGCTCTCCACATGGACCTCCCTGGTTTCCTTTGCTTTGCCCAGGTTCTTCCCTTCCTTCTCAGAGCATCTTCTTTGGTCCTATTTGTCCAACGCTTTACTTTTGCTTGCTTTAACTAGGAATCCAAAGTTAATTTTTCAAAATAGAAATCACTCCATCATAGCTACTAAAAGCCTTAGTATTAGTCTTAAGTTACTTAAGTTAAATCTAACTTAGATTTAAAGCAGTGCCATTTTATAAGTGCAGAAAATTTTCCTCAATCTTCTCTTGGAATATGTTTTCATTTATCACAGAATTTCAGAACAATAAAGTATTTTTCTTCTGGATGAGAAAAACCTTATACCTGGAAAGAAAGGTCATTTAGTCAAACTACCATATTTCCCAAGATTCAGAGAAGCTTAGTAATTTGCCCAAGTATATACACTGATTGTTAAGTGTCATTATCACCTTCAGAATTTTAAAAGTTTCTATGGTGCAAAGACATGAGGTCATTTGTTAATTACTAATGCAGTGCGAAGTGTTTCATGACCAGTATCAGATTATATTTTTCTTTACATCTTTTTTTGTATCTAGAACAGGTTTTCTATCATTTTAGAACTTGTTAGAAATACAAGTTTTTGCTTTATATCAGTATGGTACATATTTACTAAGATAAAAGATTAGGATTGAAAACATTCAATGTGTAGTTAATGTTGGAAGATTATGAATATTCATTGGAACCTTCTCATTCAGTTTTAAATTAAGTACCTTTTATTATTTGAATTTTATTATTTTATTATTTGAATTTTAATTAAGATGATTATTACTACAATGACATGTGTAAGTGATCTCACTGAAAAATACTTCTGGTGTGTGTGAGACTAGTAGTTCACTGAATGTTATGTTAGCATTAGTTAATTAAAAATATTTATATGACTTTTTTGCTGTTTATCCATTTTATAAACTATTTTCAGTATTGGATCCTGTCAATATTACAGAGTATTGTGTAGTGTGTTTTTTTTTTGAAATTTATGAGTTGTTTTATTTATTTAATTGAATACTAACTTTCATACACTAGAAACTTGGTATCTCAATTTCACCGACTGGGTTTTCCTTTTCTTTTTCAATGGCTATCTACTTTTATCATTTATGGTTAATATATTATTCTTATCATTATATGATTTTTCACAAATAGTGATTTATTTATTTATTTTTATTGTGAACATACTGTACAGAGGGGGTGTAGTTGTTTTTTTTTTAATCAGTATTTGACTCTTGATAAATACATTGTTCACACTTTGACTTTTCTGGGGGGAAATAAAATAAGTACAGGTTCCCAGGGTAAACATAGTGTTAGACCAGAATGAAAACAATCCCTTCTCTGGCTAAAGTCTAGATTTACCCTTTTCAGTAGTTAGTTCAATTATTTATGTTCACATACCATAAAGATGACAAATTAAGTTTGTTAAGTAATTGGAGCTATTGGTATATAAACCCTGACTAAATGGGAAAATTATTTATGGAACTGTTAAAAAAATCTGTTACCAAATTTTATTCAGTAGACTCAATTTTATACATACTAAGAATGATTTTCCAGTTTAAAGTACTACCATTTTAATTTGTTTAAATGGTATAGTGTAGAAATTTAATTTTATTATGTTACTCATCCTTTTTCTGGTGATGATTTAGTTCTTAAAAACTTTGTTAATTTGGGGGGCTGGGAAGGTGGCTCAGTGGTAGAGCGCTTGCCTTGCATGCTCAAGACCCTGGGTTCGATTCCTCAGCACCACATAAGCAAACAGAAAAAAGCCGGAAGTGGCGCTGT